CTTGACAATGACTCTCCGTTACCATAGCTCACCAAGGCTGTGATCATTAACCAAGGGGGACTGTAGCAGGTGGGCAAAGGAGAGGAAGGAAGGAAGATGTCTGACAAAACCTCCAAGGACCTCTCAGCAAGCCTGAATCCATGTCCATAATTTGAGAGCTAGTTCTTTTTTAGCATCTTCGTTTTTCAAATGAAACACATGAAGGAAAGAACAGAATACTATTTTAGGTACTGGGAGGTTTTACGCTACAATCTAATTTTTCTTATTTGATGCCCTTTGGCACCATAAATGGATTTATCTGGAATCTACATGGCAAAGGTTTGAAGCAAACTAATCAAAGCTATGGATTGAAATTAAGATTTACTCCTCCCAGAATACAAAAGACATCTGAAAGGGAGACGCTCAGAGTAGGTGCTAGCTTCTTGGGTCTTGTCTGGGAAGCAAGCCTCTGCTAGGACCCTGAAAGGATAAACAGGGCAGTTTAAGGTTTTCACTTCTCTGTGCATGTCCTAAACTCCTTTCCACCTGCCATTAAGACCTCATATTAACTTTGTGGAGGCCTCTGGGTAGCTATTGGCAGAAGAGGTTCCTATTCATTCTGGTCCCAGTCCTGATGATTTTTCATATATTTATTGTATGTCTACTATGTGTGAGACCCCACTATGGGATTGGCATGCATGATGAGCTAAACAGACATAATTCATCTTTGTTGTAATTAGAATCTACCCAGAGAGAAAGATTAAACACACACACACACACATACACACACACACACACACACACACACACACATATGCAAACCATTCATTATTTATTTATTTATAACCTACTCTATACAAGATGCTGTAGGAATACCAGAAACAATGTTCCTGCTTTTATGGCCCTTAAGAGTCTAGTGGGAGAAACAGATAATAAGCGAAGAATTAATTGATTCAACAAATAAGTATTGAGTGACAGCCTATGGCAAGCACTGTTTTAAGCAATGTGGCAGTACTAATGCACAAAGCAGATAAAGTTCTAATGGAGTTTACATGGTAATGAAGGAGTCGCACATTGAACACATACATATACTAGTACAACTATAAGTGCCAGTGAGAAAAATAAGACTGCGTCCAGGAGAGCATGTGAAGTATGATAGTAAAGGAAGGCCGTCTGGGTTTGGTGACATTTAAGAGACCTGGTGAAACTTAGGAGCAAACTTTGCAGCTGTGCTCTGTAGAAGATCCTCCCTCCCGGGTGCACCCTGGGACCAGGAAGGAAATTGCTGAGAAGATGTGAGCACAGTGGGGAGTCATAGAAACTGGGATGTGAGGAGTTGATAGCCAGGAGCTAAATGATGTAACTTGTACAGAGGATTTTAGATTAACTGAAAATATGAAGTGCACACAAGACAAATAACATGACATAAGGATAGAGGAAAATAGGGAAGAACCTATTTAGATAGTGTTGGTTTAGGAAGGCTCCCTGAGAAAGCAACATTTAAACAGTTCTGATCCTTACTAATAAAAGCCTAAGTAGTCCTCATGCCTTGATGCCCTCACACCATCACAAGATGGCTGCGCACACAGTGGGCGCTTGCAGGTGGGCAGTGCTGGGCTTGACGCTGCCTGCGGGCATGGAGCCTGCCTGGGAGTCCCGACTCCACCTGCATCCCGACTCCACATGGTGTGGAGGCGGAACCCCCAGCTCCGGCCTACCTCTTTGGGGCGATCCATCGCAGGGCTCCTGCACTGTGACAGGGCACAGGCCAAGCTGCCCCCCGCCCCCAACTCTGAATGCACGAAATTCGTACACCGGGCCTCTAGTGTATTAATAAGATCCTTAGGAAAAAAGTATTCTGGAAAGAGGGAAGAATACACATAAGAGCATTTTCATATGTACAACTCAGCTACTATCTCTTTAATACATCTATAACCAATCAAATGATTGAAAAATATTACCAAGGAATAATAACACTCTATGTATCCTTTCTTGGTTATAAGTATACCAAGAAAATCTATAGATCTGTTTTGTGTTTCTTTTTCCTAAGCTGAAGCATCATATGTTATAACTAGATTTTCAAATGTAATTTAAATAGATATCACTATGCATAAATTTACATGTGAAATCCAAGTAGTCATAATATGTGATATATTCATTTTCATTTTAATATTTTATATTAGACAGTGATGTAGAAAGTAGCACTTGATAGTTACCCTTGTGGCAAAGAAAATATGCTGATAAGGAGATTAGTGTGGATCTTCTCTTCCAGAATTTAAAGCATTCACAGCAATTCTTCCCTACAGCAGAGGTTAGTTTACCCAGATTTCAGTCTCTAAAATCAGGAATGACCTTCAGTTAAACTCAAGGGGACAAAGCAAGGTACCAGCCATGACATTTAACACCTTCATTACAAAGAACGTGGGAACAGGTCACTGTGTAAAAGACTTCATGGACTCAGGCACTTTCTTAAGTCCAGTCGTTCCTATACTCCTTTCACTTTCTAGCTCATCTCAAGGTCAGAAAAAGGTAACAATAGAATTTTTCAAAATTTCACTTCTGCTACCATTTCTCTCTAATTTTAAGCAGAATGGCTTAAAAAATAATGGTTTATAAAAATAATACAAAGCCAATTTGTGGAGAGAAATGGATAATTAAGACAATTTTGAG